ACAGGTCGGATTTTGACGGAAAATATTTTTTGATGGAGTGTATGTTGTTCGATGTAGTTTTTTATGCTGATTCTGAATATCATATCCATCGCATTCGAAAGCCAATTTTTGATGGTCAAAATCTCGAAATACGAGTACAATTCTTTAGCGTTTTGTCATCGATTTCGAAATAATTGATTTTCTCAGCAAGGGAACAAAATTTTGCGATACCCATACATAGTTTTGTTCGCCTTCGATTGTCGGTTCGAATGATATATAATAGTCCAAGAAAGCTCTTAAAACAAAAGACTTGAAGGGTTTGGAACGAAGAGGTGTCATCATTCGTCCTTTGTCTGTAAGAAAAATTTCTTAATACACGGTTTTAAGGAAATCTACTTCTCTACTGCTTGGATATACTCAGTCTTTGATGCTGAATCCGAATATGTAATTAAAGTTGAGTTTTGAACAAGGTTTCAGGGTGAAATCTTCAATTTTCTAGAAAAGTGTGAAAAGTTCACTTTTTGACTGCTGCTTAGTATTTTCAAGATTTCTCAGCCAAAGCTTGATCAAAATTCAATTTCAAGTAGATATTTGGAATCTACTCCTCAGACTCTATCCAACGATGTATGTTTCAAAAAAATCTGATGATGCGTGAACGTTTCGAATTTCCCGCACCTTACAAAGAAATATTTTTTTATTAAATTTTATAGACTGACAGTCAATGATCAATTAAATTTATCTCAAGGTCATGCAACATCTCCAATACATGATATACACTCACCAGTCAGCAATCAATCGATTGCACCTCAAGGTCTCACAACAGCTCCAATATATGACAAACATTCATCAATCAATATTTTTGGACTTAATATCTCACCTAATTACAACTTACCTGTAACATGCACCACAAATCCTCGAAATATACAACTTTCTTTTTCTGATAATTCACTCAGTGTAAGTTCAAGTGATGCGCATGTTGATTGTAGAGATTTGTTTTTGTATATATCTATCTTTAGAGTGATGCAGAAGATCAACCACAATGGTTGATTAAATTAGAAAAAAAATATAGCAAAAAAATACTAGATTGGGATAACCAAATGATGAAAGACTGGCAAGAAGTATTAAAAAAGTTTCAACAAGACTGGAATATGAAGGTACAAATAGAGCGAAGTCGATTGATCGAACAATTGCAAGCAGAATTAAATGAAGAAAAACGTAAACGCTTAGTCAAAGAACAACAGTAGGTGCCTTTTTAAGCTCTAATATATGCTAATTGTTTGTATTCTAGAAAAAAATCATCAAAAGATAATCGAAGAAAAACAAAACGAATCAATAAATGGGATTTGTTTTTGTAAATGACTTTTTTTGTTATGTAATTTTTCTCCGTTCATATCGAGTGCATTCGGTGTATGCAAGAAGCCGGTTCTATTATTGCTCATCAAATTTTGTGTAACTATTACAATTACAAATAAATATAAAATATAAAGAAAAAAATATTGATTTCATTTCTACCAGAAGCCAAGATCCACTTTTTAAATAGATATCGAAAGTGTTTGTTTTGAAATAAATGTCAAATTAGAATAAATATAAAGTAAATTGATCGATTTCGATAGTTATTAAATAATAAGAGAAAAAGATAAATTTTATATTTTAACATGGATCTTTTGTATACTCAAAAAGTGAGTACACTCTAGAATTGATTAGTGTGTCCGATCGTATACACGATAAATATTGAATGGAAAAACCGATTGTGATGAAATTTCCTGCATAGAATCGTGTTGCCAATATTTCGGTCGAGTCCTTCATGAGTTATAGCAAAAAATGTGATTATTTTCTATGAGAACATCGACCTATCCCAACTATGATTAAAAAAATTTCACTTACAACCAAAAAGAAACATCAGGCATTATATACCATTTGATAGAAAATTTCACGAGCTACAAAACGGTATATAAAACATTAAGAAACAAGAAGCCTAAGTCATCTATTGCAAAGATACTTACTTCAGCTGTAACTGATGAAATAGCAAATTCACCAATTATTATCTTGAATGATAAGAATTAAGAGTGAATTCACTAATCGTCATTCTCAACCCCGAAAAGGATGAGTATGGAAAACGCAAATTGCTTCTGTATTTGTCCACGCTCTGATTGATCGAAAGACAAAGCTCGGTTTTTCAATCAGAGAAGTGATACTTCGTAGTTTTATGAAAGTCCAACAAAGGTTTTCTGAGGGTGGAGGAGACTCATCTAGGCTCAATTTCCCTTCAAGTCCTATTGGTTGACTAGTAACCAATAGAAATCAAGATTTTAGCAAAATGACTTTCTTGTCGTAATTCAAGGCGAGGAGTTCAAATCTGAGTTCCGATTGTCTCAATATCGTATGAGTTAACCAATAGTGAAAAGAAATTAGATTTTAGAAAAAATAGCTTGCCAGAATAATTTTCATGTGTAGATATGATATGATGACTCGTTTGTCTAATTTTTAGACATTTTGATCAAGATCAATGTGTAGAACGTATCAGATGTCGACCCTTATATGTGTTCTATAAACACACTCTTCTCAAAAGAATGGTCGAATGGCGCATCTTCAGTAATATATATTTTGTTTGAAAGAGCATGAAAAACTGCAGTGCTCATGAGAGCCCTTTTTAAACTTGATAAACAATTTTCTAATATGAGTGCCATTTTTTTAGAGGTTTTTTAGTGATTGGACTTGTCAGGCCTTTTTCCCTTTCAGAAAGATAAAATTAATACACAAAGGATCCTCATAGACGCTGCAATTGGATATGCTCTTTTATGCAAGCAAAAACAATCAAACATATTGAATAAACATCCACAGAGGATTTTTTGGAGACGCGATAAGCTATTTTCCAACCATTGTTTGGTTCGTATCTCCCTTATACATCAGAATACGAGACTAAAAATTTTACTACAGATGCCCTTTTACAATCTCAATGTATTCTCAAAGTTTCATGGTATTTGGATGTTCGTAGGCTGAGATCGATTTTTGAGGAGGAGGAGCCCCGCCCATAAATGAACAATCAGGCATTATGAATTAGACTGATTCATTTTTTGATATTTAAACTTTTCTATGATATTGAAAATTTCGTAGCAATATTTTTCAAAATAAATATTATTTATTTGTTCAATTATTATCTTCTCTAATATATTAGAAAGTTTAATCAAGAATATTCTTGTTTGTTTTCATTGCTCTACTATGAATGTAGAATCTAGATTGGAATGTTTGTCGTTTCAAAGATGAAAAATCGAGAAATATAATTTAATAGATCTTGAAATTTTTCAAATATTGATATAGAAATAAGTAATTTTTTTGTAAATAAATAGAATGGGTGATCTGTTGAAAGAAATGACCAATGAATATCTCGTGATCATTCGTCATTGAATATAGTAAACTGTTCTTTTTTTCCCATGAGGTCAATATTAATCTTATCAGATTGATTATTGCAATAAATCAACATTTATCATCTTGCATGAGCATATGCCCTTATCTACTATTTTCAGTTCATAATATTAGTTAATTACTATTGAATGACAAATTTCATAGAATAATATATACATTAATAAACATTGTATTTTTATAAATTATAGAAATTAAATTAAATGAAAATTTTTATATAAGAAGATTAAAATAAATAATTTATTGAATAAGAATATATATATATTATAATGAACAATTACATATAAACATTTTTTTACAAGTTATTATTGTTATTACTATTAAAATAAAAATATTCATTATTTTACAATCTTAATGAAAAGAAAAAACAGAACAACACAGCAAAGTTTGATTAGATATAATAAAACTATAAAATATATTAAATAATAAATATTTATTTTAACTGTTTTGAATTCTACAAATTTTGTTTTTCATCTCGACAAAGTAAAATCATCAATCGAAATGAATGCTTGATTATTGTCTAAAAGATTTTTTTTTATTAAACTATATCAAATATCACTAGTTACAAAAAAAATCTAATTAGAAATAAACACACAAAATGTAAATCGAATAATAGAAAGTTGATGGGGTGTGCCTGTGGGTGTATGTATCCATTTCATCTACGCCCACACCCACACCCACACCCAAAAAAATTCGAAATGCAACTAATCCTGCCACCTTTCGCTTCTAGCTCAGCACCTCATCGTATTCTATCTTTGAAAGGCTGACAGTTTCTGAAAACTGACGTTACATTAGTGGACTAGCTCAGCATCTTTTAGCATGCGCAGATAGTTGATAAAAAAAATTTTGTTGTAAACTTTGTTATTTAAGACGAAAAGTCTGTATTGAATCTTTCTTGAAGAAGCTACCTAAAACTCTATTTTCAAAAAGTAAATATACTCGTCACGCATTACATGAAGTTGCCAGCCTATATCTACCTCATGTTTCATATACTCAGTAATGGATGCTCTTTTTTCTTCGAGCCAAAAATAAGTTTGAAAAGTCGCTAAGAGCTCAACTTGTTCATCTTCAAACGAATCGAGTTCTCCACCCCACAAAATTCTATAAGTTAAAGAAAATTTCTCAACTGTTTTTAATAGTGGCTGCCATTGTTGACCGGTAAGACGGTTGCTCGCGCTATCACTTTGAAAAATTGTGATACCCAGTTTGTTTAAACTAATAAATCGATCCAATAAAAATTTGTATCATCAAATGTTGCTCTAGAGATATAGCCAATTCTCAGCTCATTAACATTTAGACCGAATTGCAATAGAGTCGTAGACACTAAGATTTTCAGTTGATCAATATCCAGTCTCTTTATTTTTGAATAATCTGGAACTAAATTAAACAGATCGCTCGTAGATATGGAGGAAAAATACAAATAGCGAAGGTGTATTGGCGCTTGAGAATGTTCCGGCGTCCAGAATGTCTTCAAGTCACAACTACCCGTTAACCGTAAATGCTTAATAGAACTTTTACCATTTTGACGGTAAAAATGTTCAAAAACTTCTTTGACAACAACCATTAATTGATGATTCCAATACAGTGTAAAAAATTCTAAGTGAGGTAAATTGTCTAGAAAATAACCATTAAAGAGATCAACTGGCGTCGATTGATAAAGTACTAAGTCAAGGGCACGGATTTGAGTAAAGTAAAGATAGAACTGATTAGATGAAAGCAAATTGCCCGTTGTTGAAGTATCAATAGCCTTTAAAGAGCATACATTCCCAAGCATTAAATTAAGTTCACTTCTATTCTTTTGAAAATAGTCGCAGTCTGCGTTCCAATGGAGATACAAACGCGAGCCATATTTCTGTCTGACAATTTTATTGATTTTTTCATTTAAATTGAAAAATGAACGATGAATTTCTATTAAGAAAAAATAATCGAGCAGGAAAAACCATAGTTCTATAGGAAGAACCTCGATTGTGTTCATTGTCAGAGGCATGACGAAACGTTACGCCAGTGCTACAAAATCGCTACCCACTTTATATGGACTGAATTTTATCAAAAAGACACGCTTGATCGAAAACAAAATAAAGGAAAATCAAATGTAAGAAACGAAAATAGAAGAAAAGAGTAAATGATGACGACAGGTCAACGTTGAAATGCAAGAAAACCGCATTTTTTAACGACAAACTATTTTTATTAAGTAGCGTTTTTGTTTTTTGCCATTCAATGCAGCTTGGAAACATGTATCAAAGCCAGAATAATTACAAAAATTGTTTAGAAATCGGATTCACTAAGTGAAATTCAGTGCTTCGTGGAATGATCATCTTGGATTACAGATAGGGTTGAAATGTAACAAATGTTTAGAAGAATTAATTTTTTGCCTTGAAAAGTTCTCGGTTTTTAGAACTTTCGTCCGCCCTTCATAGCTCCCCAAAAAAGCTTTTAAAAATGCGTTTTTTGGAGAGTTTTCTGTCTGCATTTGATTCAATTGGATGAAAATTGACGGAGTGGTGGTCGACACAAAAAAGTGACATCATTTCTGTCACACACATGTTGTGTTGGCATTCAAAATTGTCTTTTTTTCACACCAAATATAGAAATGGCTACCTTGCTTAATACCTAGGTTTACACCAGTAGGCAGTAGACCTACTGATTACTGGTGACAAAGTCTTTGACGACCAAAGACTTTGCTTACCAAACCTTTGTTACTGATTCATACCTATTAATACCTGAGATTTTCCAAAAACTATAAAGAGGTATCGTAAATTTTTGGAACATACCTTAGGTGGCGAAGCAAAAAAAACAACAGCAAAGGTTTTTCTTTTTACGAGAG